TTTCTTCTTCTGGGCAAGATGGCAACCCTGCAGCCTTACCCCCTCAGCCGGGCTGCTCTCAAAGCACCAGTGGGGCTTCTGCAGCTCCACAGAAAGTTAGCGTAAGCAAGGATGAAGCCAAGGATCTACCACAAGATAAATGTGCAACAACTGGGACTGAAGGACGTAAGGATACTAAGGAGCAGTATCAGTCCAAGCCTAGTTCTAGTTGCAATGAAAGACGATCTTCCCGAGACAGGGAAAGACTGTACTCTAGCTCTGGCAGAGATAGAGAAAGACACTACAGGGATAGGAGTCACGAACGAGAAAGCGACAACGATCGTCACCGGTACAGACGGGACTACAAAGACGGTCACCACCGCCAGTACAGGGATCGTTTCCCCCTTTCTGGACGTTACTACAGGGAATGGGAGGCCGATCGTCACCGGGAGCGAACCTTCCAGCACCCTCGGGAGCGTGATCGCGACAGGTGCTCTAACCATTACCATTACTACCGCTACCGGTCAAGAGAGGACATTGACCATGAGCGAAGGGGATATGGTTACTCCCACCGAGAGGAGTCTCGTGGCAGTCGGAGGTGGCTGCAGGATAGTAGAGACTCCTGGGCAATGAAGGATAAGAGTAATGGCAAAGAGAGAGAAAATTACTCCTCAAAGGAAGGAAATTTCTCACCTTCTACAGCACCAGAAACAAACAAGTTCAAGGGCTCCCCGCCACGGGCTCGCCTTTCCTCTCCAGACAAAGAGGATCAAAATTGCAAGAGGACTCTCAGCAAAGACAGGGACGACAGCTCTGAGGCCCGCCACACTAAAAAACACAAAAAGAGTAAGAAAAAGAAGAAATCAAAGGATAAAGACCGACACCGTGAGAGTGGGTGAGTATTGCCATCTTTCTCTCGATCCTTTAATGAAAACCGAAGGAAATGTTTGTTTGTTTTAAGCTAGATTTTTTTTGAAAATAATATGGGGTTAAAGCTCACTATCAGTATTAATATTTTCTTAAAAACGGAAAGAATTTTCATCATTTTATTGATAATGGGTCACTTTTTCTGTCTTAGGCTGGCCGTAAAGCTTGAGATCTTGGTTTTGTTAAACAATGTGATTGGTTCTCTGTCATCCCATAGAAGTTCTGACGGAGATTCAGACAGAACTGCGGAAATGAAGAAGAAAAGGAAAAAGAAGAGACATCGGGACAGCGATCCC